GAGCAACAATCGCTAAAAACTGCCATGTACTCTTTCATTCTATTCATATTATCTCATATTTATTTGTTAGTTGTTGCTAATCAAATGTTTTTACAGTGATTTTCATCATAGACGTGTTTGACATTCCCTGGTGTGTAGAGTGATTTTGTTTGTTTTTCTTCTCTTCTATTTCGGTCCTTCTTTTGATGTAATAGACATTACATAGTTGTTATCTGTCACCCTAATCCTGTGCTCGGCGACTTGCAGCTGGCTACTCTCGTGAAAATAACCAACTAGCTGGAAGTTCAATTCTGACGTGCCTTTATTTATCCAAGAGATTTAAGCATAGCTTTTCGTGGTCTGTACAAGGTGTGTATCAGTATCATATCTGATTAATACGTTATGCGTCCTCTGCATGTGCAATAATTTTTTGCCACAGAAATATATGCTCTTAGAAACTCAATAGACATGTAGCACTCGCCATTCAACAGGTTTGTTTTATGAGGCGGAAAGTTATTGCACTAAAATCAGTTTTTATTCAGCGCGTTTCAAGTTGGAAGTTCAAATTGTGTATGACATTTCGTATTTTATGAAGTACTTAAACAGGTTGTGTTGTACGAAAGACGTGGTTACTGGTTATAATTAGATAACCTTATATGTAATACTCAATAAATTCATGCATTATTGTGTGTAATACAGTAACGACAGGGCTAGTCACTTATGTGGCTCCCTCTGCATATGCATATGTGGCTCGGAAGGTGGTGTGGGTCGTATTTAAAGCAACAGTCCCAGCAGGGTCTGCTTCTTTCAAACTAATGGCACTAAAGGATGCACAGGCCCTATTGGAGAACATCTAAAGTGTTATAAAGAAAACTCACCTGGGAAAAGCCTAAAAAGGGCGTTAAACTCCTCAAAGATGGGTGTGGTTGGAGATTTCTTCGGGACCGCCCACTTGCCAGCCGTGATTGGCTACGGAGGCATTCGCGCTCGTTTTGGGACCACAGGGGTAACATTTGAACTCTGTCCTTTGAAGTAGTCAATGTGATCCTGCCTGTTACACTGGAATTGTTTCCTTGGAATTGTTCCCTGTTT